AATTAGCTTTGCTTTCACCTTTATGAGGTTACCATCATCGGTCTTCAGTTGGATAATTCTTCGTCAAGAGTTGTCAACAGCAACGTCGTTCAGTCAATTCATACTAAGGATAATGTCAATTTCATTGTATGGTATTTCAACGAGGTTTTGCAAGGAATTGTTGCTTAATGAACGATTTCGATTTGTGTGATATAATCACATATTTGCGTCGTAATGAATTAGAAATTAGAATGGGATACTTTAGATAACAGAGTTTATTGATTCTAAACGTGCGTGTTTAAATCAGATCATCTTGAGACCACATGAGGATCTTTGACATCGGCTTCACAAATGTTGTTCAACATAAATCATTTTTTCAGAGTCATCTCACTTTCATGCGACTTCGCGATGCAGATCGATTTCGTCCTTCGCGATGCGATGCGTACGTTAATAACGGATCAGAGGGTCATATATTTTTCATTCATTCTTTCGTCTCTTTTCTACGATTTCAGTACTAATCAATTGTTATTTAATGAGAATTCTAACAGAGTAAATATTTGCCAAGTAAATTCTCATACCTTTCTTGGTGCAGAGGGATGCGAGAGTCGTGGATTTGTTTGACATTTTTTTTAAAAGGCCGAATGATATATATATATATATATATATATATATATATATATATTATTAAATCCAAATTCTGATCCGAAGATCGATTTTAAAACCATATGCTCTGATACCAAAATGTAACACCCTAATCCGTCAAGGTCTGCAGCCCCTTTCGGACTAAAGTATTAACTTGGTATTCGTATAAATTAAAACTTTTCAAATAACTTTATTCATCATAAATAAAATTTCATACATAACTATAGGAAATGCGGAGTGTTTAATAATATGCGGAAGCGTCTTTTAAACATTTCTCATAACAAACATAATTATTTATTTTGTCAATAAATCCACCACGACTGTCTCACCCCTTCTGCTCCCAGGAATATGCCAGTCATTCATTCTGTCTACCTGCGCGTAGCAAATAAAACACACTACATGCTTAGCAGTGAAGCTGAGTAAGCATATCTAAAGCGTCGAACATCCACATAAATTGAATCTCAATTCATAACCAACCATTTGATATCATGTACACAATATAGGATTCAAACATTCACGATATTCTCAATATTTTATTCCTAGTCATTTCATGATAAATACATTATCCAATATCTCAACAGTGTTCTTAAATTATTCTTAATCTAAGGCCAAATCATTTCATAACAAGCTCTTAGCTATTCCTAGTCTAAGACAATATTTCTAACCAGGCCCTTAAACTATAAATAGTTTAATGCAGAACACAAGAATCGATAATCCACCCTATGAGTCATGTGGATTACATACCAACCATAGAGTTGTTGGGAAACGAGGCTTGGATAACGCAGCGGAAAACAAAAATTTATAGTCCAAAACTCGATTCCACCCAAGAACAACTTACGTAAATTACTAGCTATAGTAAGAAATTTACCTTAACGGTGTAAACGGAGAACGGAGGAACGGTCGGGGATGGTTTTGAGGAGATGAACGTAGCGCCAAACGTATGAAGCCTCCAACGTATCCACACGAACTTGCTCCCGAGTCCAAGATTAAACTTGTGCTAGCAAGTTTAATATAGGATAGTAAAAACTATAATAATACTACTTTGGGAGTAATAAATATATAGTAAAATATTTATCTTATAAATATTTGTTTATAATATTTTGTGTATATTTCTAACACTTTAGAAAAATAACTTTGAACACAAAATATAATTTTCTTCTCTCTTCTTTGTGATGGCCGAAAATTACACTACTAAAATGGGGAGGG